ATGGACTAACAATCAAGTCAAAGAACAAGAAGATTCCAGAGTTGTCAGTTTCAAAATAAAATCAGAAAAAAGCAGTGCGGAATTTCAAGTAAGACATGCAAGAACAATGAAAGGATTATCACTACCTACACAAACTGTGGAAAGGTAAGATTCTCAAAAAGTATCCTTATATAAATAAGAAAATTGCCCCAATGATAAACGCCAAACCTAGAATCTTAATTGGTCAAGATAATTGGCCATTATTGGTCAACAGAAAGATTATTACTGGTCCATGGAATGGTCCAGCAGTAAGTAAGACATTGCTGGGTTGGGTTATGCATGGAAATGTTTGTTCTAGACCAGGTACTCAAATTCTAAAAAAAGTGAATTTGCTTGTTATACTCCAATAATGCTGTGTATTTTCATTTATTTGACAATAAAACACGCATTCTTAAGGACATAATTTTTTTCGAAAATCTTAACTTCCATAAGCCAGTTCACCAAAACATCCCCGGCCATGGAACACAGAGGGATGATTTAGACAAACATCACGAACTTGTGAAAGAACAATGGAATATTGAAATTTCTGGAACAGATACAATTGAGAAACCCATGACAAAAGAGGGCAAGAGGGCACAAACCATTCTAGATAAGACTATGAGAAGAATTGGAGACAGATGGGAAACTGGACTCTTGTGGAGGAATGAATATGTAGTTCTCCCAGAAAGCAGAAAGAATGCGTCGAAAAGGTTAGCAAGTACAGAAAGGAGAATGGACAAAAGCTTCGAATATGGTAATACATACTCTGAGAAGATGGATGACTTTCTGAAAAAAGGATATATTCACAAACTCACGAAAGAAGAATGTAAAATTCAATCCCCAAAGATTTGGTATCCTCCACATTTTGGTATTATTAACCCAAATAAACCGAACAAATTCAGAATTGTGTTTGATGCTTCTTCAAAATCAAATGGCATCAGTTCGAATGATTGCTTAATGACAGGTCCCGATTTATATAATTCGCTTTATACAATTTTGATGAATTTCAGGATTAAGAAATATGATTTCACCAGTGATATCAAAGAAATGTTTTTACAAGTGAAAGTACGCCACGAAGATTGACCAGCTCAAAGGTTTCTATGGCGTGGACTTGACAGAAATAGAGCTTCTCGAGAAGCTCGAGAATTTAGCGAGAAATTTCCAGCAGCAACGAAAGAAATCATTGAACATCACTATATGGATGATTACCTAGGTAATACAGGTTCCATTGAGGAGGGTAAGAAACTCATTGATGATATTATATATGTTCATTCATAAGGTGGATTGACCATATGTAATTGGATCTCTAATTCAACTGAAATTTTCAATCATATAAATCCCAAGTTGACACTATTTGAAGAGAAAAACTTTCAGTCAAATTCGGAAAATGTAACTGAAAGAATTTTAGTTGTTTTTTGGAATCCCTTTAGTGATACCTTTATATTTCAAACAAAATTTCATGTGATTGACAATGAAATTTTGGAATTGAAACGACGACCAACTAAGCGAGAAATATTGAAATTGGTCATGCCAATTTTGGACCCTTTAGGTTTTTTGACTTATTTCACAATTCAGAGCAAAATCAGAGAAGTTGTTGTCCAGAATTTAAGACAAAAATATTGGATTTTACGTATTAGACAAGCAATTAAATCAGATGGACACAAAGTCAAACGTGTAAAAATCGAAGAGCTTCTCCAAATATACCAATTATGGGACAACTGCCACCTTGTCGACTTGAGAGAACAAAACGACCACTCATCAAGACAGGAGTAGATTATTTTGGACCTACAATGGTAACTGTCAAGACAAGTCATGAAAAACGTTATGGTGTAATTTTTCCCTGCATGGCCACCAGAGCTGTACATTTAGAAATTGATCATAATCTTTCTACTGATGGGTTCATAAATGTTTTGAGACATTTCGGGTGTAGAAGATTTCCAGAAGAACTCTATTGTGATAATGTATCCAACTTCAGATCAGCACAACGTGAACTCCAAGAACCGTTGAACATTCTGAAGCAGAGAGAGATAAAAACATTTCGCTGAGTGAAGAATATATATTGGAAATTTAATCTTCCATGCAGTCCAAATATGGGAGGTGCCTGGGAACGTCTCATCCAGATTGTTAAAAAAATCTTGAAGGAGATGTTACAAACCAAATATCCTCAAGAATATGTTCCACGAACTGTTCTAGCAGAAATAGAGAATGTAGAGAACTTACGACTTCTGACACACATTTCTCTGGACTCTAGCGACTCTAAACCAGTCACACCAAATCATTTTCTAATCGGACCTTCTTATGCTGCAATGTCTTGCGTTGACTTAGAAAAAGAAAATTTCAACCTACTCTCAAAATGGAAAGCAGCTCAAAAACTAGCAGATATATTTTGGAAGAGGTGGACATATGAATACCTTACATATCTGACAAAACGAAGCAAATGGCAACAAGAAACATCAAGTATCTGAAAGAACGATGTTGTTCTTATCGTTGACCCCAATGGTCCAAGAAATTATTGGCTCAAAGGGAGAGTTTTGAATTTGTATCCTGCAAAAGACAACCGAATCAGAATAGTCGACGTTCAGTTAGCTAACGGAGTCATTTTGAGGAGACCTGTTTGAAGACTCTCTGAAAATCGAATTTCAAAAATCATCAAAAATCGGTCATTCGGCTTGATATAAAGAAATCTTGTACATTTCAGTTAAGATTATTAATTAACAATATGTCGTATGGTTTTGAAAATAATATTATAATCAACACGAAAAAAAGGTCTTTTCGAGCCCTGAAGAAGAATTTAAATAAATTCGAAACGTCGGCAAAAATACAATTGATTTTTTAAGGAAAAATTGATTATGTTACCCAACCAACCCCTTTTTCAAGCAAATACAACTGCTGAAAATGTAATAATGCATTTAAAGAGCGTTTTTGTTCGTCTCGGCATACCAAAAACTTTATTTTCTGATAAAGGTCCACAATTCTCTTCTGAATTATTCAATTCATTTGCTAAGACGTGTGAATTTGACCACCAAACTTCTTCACATATATACATATCTTCACATATCCACAAGGTAATGATACGGTAGAACACGCTGTGCCAACTTTAAAAAACATTCTTAAAAAAATAGGGATGATCAAAAAGATATGTATTTGGCCCTGTTATAGTATGGAAATAGTCCAGTTTCATATGAGATTTGTTCACCAGCACAACTTTCAATGTTGAAAAAATTACGAGTAATAATTCCTATTGAAGATAGTATCTTAAAATCGAGTTTAAAAAACGTCGAAAAAACTAGATAAAAATTAAGTAACCGTCAGGAAGTACAAAGGTATTATTATGATGAAACAACTCAAAAAAGTTTACCAGAGCTTAAAAAGGATACAAAAATGATTTAGGGTACTAATTCTAGATGGCATCCGAGAGGAGTTATAAAGTTAGACATAGGTCATATAAAGTTAGGTTGGATAATTATAGGAAGAAACAGAAGGTTTCTAGCTATCACCCCAGAAGAAAAAAAAATGAGAATTCTGAATTTGAAAAACCGAAAGTTTTGGAAGGTCTTTTATACGGTGTTTCTCTAGCTTCATTGTTTCTAGGATTATGTATTGTTTTGTGGAGTATATTGAGTGATAGGTTTTGTGTTTTGATTTGTATTTGTTCCTGGATAAGTGAATTATGAATTCATGGAGGTTTAGGTTTTCTCAGATGTTCATACGGTTTCCTTTATTGACTTGTTCGAAGATTTTGATGTTTTCTGGTGGTGGAAAGTTACGTTTGTTTTGTATGGCGTGTGTTGCGAAGTTTGATTTATATGACATTGGGTTTATGTTTGCTTTTTTGTGCTCGTCGTACCTTTGGATCAGTTTTTTCTTGGTTTGGCCGACATAGAGTTTGTTGCAGCCCAAGCATTGTATGCTGTACACTCCGTTTAGGTTTCTGTATTCTTCTTTTTCAAAGCTGGTAATTTTGTGTAATTTTCATTTTCGGATGTTGATGTTCAAGGTTTTGAAGATGTTTGTTGATTTTTGGTTTGGTGACTTATGTATGTGAATGCATCCTATGTATGTATGTGAATGCATCTTTGTGTTGTTTTATCTGTTGGAGTAGTTTGATCCTTATTCTGTATATTTTGTTTGATTGTAGTCAGTGGGTGGTTTGGATTCGCGGGTATGGTGGAGCTTGTTTGTGTAGGTTTCCTGCATATTGTCATCTGAAATTTTGTTTTGTTGTGGTTGTATCCGATAGTTGTGTCTAGGTAGTTGAGTTTCGTGTCGTTTTCTTCCTCTATGCTGAAAATCAGTTTTTGTTTCGTGTCGTTTTCTTTCTCTATGCTGAAAATCAGTTTTTGATTCATTTAGTTAATTTCCTCTGTTATTTGTTCTATTCTTATTCCTTTGTTTTGTGTTATGTATAGGCCATCGTCAACGTATGTGAACCATTTTTTTTCGTCGTATGTTTTTATTATTGATAATAATTTCGGATATAAAGCTAAATAGTGGGGATCCTTCTGGGAATCGATTTGTTGAAAAAATCATTTTTTCACCGGAGAAGTATGGTATATAGCGGGCGCCTAATTATTTTTTCGTCAAAATACCGATAAATTAAAGGAATTTTCTGCTGGTCTAGTATGCCTAATAATCTTATAATACATGTTACAGTTTATATTTTCTAAAATTCTTCTTTCACTGAATTGTTTCAAGCTTTGGGTAATTTTTGTTGCTTCACTTTCAAAATAAATCTAGAAAGTACTCTGAATAACCATTCAGTTACGATTTTCTGATTGGATGGGATTCGATAAATATGTACCATTTATTGGACTATTATCATTGAGAATATTACTACTTGGCACGGTTCGAAATTTATGTTTATAGTTCAGTGCACATTCATCAGAGAGAATATTCTCAAATTTCAATACTCCTTCATACACTCACGTGTCGAGACGTGAATTTATTTCACGTTATGCAAAAATGGTATGTTCTACTCCACATTTAAGTTATTTGTACCCTGTGAAATGTATTCATTGACTGACAGACAAAAACAAATCCTATCAAAATTTCAATGAATTCATCAAATAACTGAGTAATTCGAGTTGAGCGTTGCATATTCCTGCATTCATTGGAGATTCGTTCATACATTATTGGAATATGAATCATTTTGTTTCTGCCGATCAGCCATTCTTTGTCAACAGTATTTTTTGAATCTAGAATCCAATGAATTCAGACTTTCGTGTCGAAAATATTTGTGACTGATCTATTTCCATTTTGGCATGGATTCCTGATGGAAACAGATCTCACAGGAGGAGAAATGTTGTTTCTAGATATTCGATTGCAAGTTTTCCTTTTCACACTCAGGTAAGTCGTACAAGTATTGTTGCGCTGTAGTTCCGTGCTCTCCGTTCCATCTGTTCCTGCAAAACAAAAAGAAACTATCAGATACGTTTCCGAAGGTAATTGTTTGTAAATGCTGATCAGGTGAAAGTACTTAGTTCAATCATAGTCAATATTGAGTCAATCGATATGATATAAAGGTTTTAAAAATACTTCATGATCACCATATATTCTTCTTCGAGACACCTCATTTCTTCCTGATGAAATGAACTTATTTGGAAATGAATATATTTTTTTAAACTATATTTATTTTTTAGTTTAATATGCTATAAAAGCGTGTTTTTTAGTCTAAACTATATTTATTTTATCTAAACTTTGGGATCAATAAGCCGTATATTGTTTAGAGAAATGACCATTGATATTTTCCGATTCCGGTGAGGGAGCCTGAAAATCAGCTACCAAGCCCAAGGCAGTAGGTGCGCAAAGGAGTGTTACAAATAAGGCAGCAGGCGTGTGTGTTAATGAAAAAAATACTTTTTTCAAATGAAGAAATACATGTAATGTGAGTTCGAATTACATCAAGGAGGTTACGTTCAGCGCCATCTGCTCGCGAATAGATCGAGCAAAAATGTCGATATATCAAGGAGGTTACGTACAGCGCCATCTGCCCGCGAATGGATCAAGCCATAATGTCGATATATCAAGGAGGTTACGTACAGCGCCATCTGCCCGCGAATAGATCAAGCAATAATGGCGATATATCCAGTAGGTTATGTACAGCGCCATCTGCCCGCGAATAGATCAAGCAATATTGTCGATAATTCTGTCAAATACAGATCCCGAACTTGAGAGTTACAAACAAACAAACATACATACATACATACAGGTGAAGCTGATATAAAGCGTGTAATAAAAATATCGCTGTGAATGAGACAGGTACAGTTGAAATATTATCTGCAGGTTCCAGGTGATTACGTAGATGGAGTAGAACATGTACAACCATTTCTACGTGGATATAGTGATTCTTACTGGGTATATCTGAATCGACTGATGTTTTTTCAATTCCAAAGAAAAATAACGAAAAGATTTTGCAATTTTTCTGAATTTTTTAGTAATCTTACGGGTATCAAATGCTTCTTTACATTACAAAATTGATCATCGCTCGATTGAGAGCAATTCTCATTCTCTTTTTATACCGCAGCTGCTTGAGAAAACTTTTACTATATGATTTGTGTGAAAGCTATTTTCATGCCTGACGTTTCGTCTACTACTGCGTTAGACATTATCAAAGACGATATGGTAACGGTCGCAGTGCCCGAGTTGGTGCTCGAGTTGTTGTTCCCGTTGTTAGACACGCAGTAACTAAAATAATAATAACAATAATGTTCATTTCCAAAGAAAAAGGTACATTTATATCAATAACAAGTTGCTAGGGTAGATTTACATATGACAACATTATTCAATGCTCTACAAAAATTGCATTTTGAAATAAACAAATGAACCACTGAGGCTAAGAAGCTAGCTAGCTCAACAACATTTAAGTAGTGGGTAGTAGAGAGAGTTGATAGATATAATCCCATGATGTATTCAAATATGTAAATGAAATGGAGTGTTCCAGTATTTTGTGTTTGGCAAAAGTAGAATCATCCTGTTTCAGTGTCAGTTTCACAATGGTATATGTTAATTTGTTGAAAATTATTATTAATGTACAATTTTGAAAAAGGGAAAGATGCATAGGATCACCCGATATATTTATTTGAAATGTATATCCTTCAATTGTACTAGAGGAAGTGAAATGAACCAGTATTTGCCTAGTTATCGTTTCATTCACACCCATGGCCAATAAAACTCTCTCAACGTTAACGAGATAGGAAGTAGACTCCTTCTGAAGACGCCAACTCAGATGGAAGTGTAGTGAAAATGTATATCGGATACCTTCATTTCAAAATGAATAATTTGATTCAGTAGAACTATCTTTTGCCAATCACTGCTGATTGAGGAATTTGCACAAAACTTCCTAAATAACCATGTTTTCAAATTTCAAATGAGAAACTCTTCATAGATGCTGACAAAATTCGTCAACTGCATTTTGTGTTAATATAATAGCAGACAATCTGCTCTACTCTTCGTGCATCAATTTGTAGATTTCTGCGATCCTTAGTGCACATGTGAATAGTCCCATTCCCCGCTTAAATTTTGAAGACAAAATTTTAAAGAAAAAGAATCTCATATATATTTAGAAATTCTTCAGAACCTCATTCACCTATGGTTTTAAGAAGATGTGGCAAATATCCAAGATGAATCAGGAAATCTAACAAGATGGTGATCGACCACATTTTAGTAGTCCTGTAAGGGATTGGTTAGATCAGGCATACTCATGCATGTATATTGTAGGCGCGGTCTGTCGGAATGGCCTACTTGTTCACTGGATTTGGCTCCTCTAGATTTTCTCCGTCAGGGCTCAAATGATTTTTTTATGTATGAGATAAATGATAAGAGGGGTAAAATAAAATTCTATCGTTTTTTGCCTTTGAAATTGAAATTCAATATATTGTAAAATATGTTCTAATTCATTCCTCTTCACAATGATCATTTAAATAAAAAATTTGACATGGTTGGCGAAGTTACAGTATTCCTAGTTCCACATTCAAACATCAATAACTTCGTAAACAGTTTCTGAAATCTGAAGAAAAGGTCATTGCATAGAAACTGGAGATATCTTCCTTACACATTATTACAAGACCACCTTTCTATTTGAAAAAAAAAGTTGATGGTACCGTTTCGGCGGCAAGTGATGTCCCACTAATGACATTTCAATAAAAAAGAACTGAAAATGATTATGTTTTACAAAAATTTTGCCCGACTGTAATATCATATCCCGTTCAAAAGTTAAGAGGGTAGGACTATTCAACTAGTTACGTCAGCACTGTATAAAATTCTGTAACTGAAAGTTCTCCCGAGCGGGGATCACTGAACACTGCAGGAAGTTATAATTACGCAACTTCTTATGAAGTACACACAGCTCAACCATGATCATCTCATATCCCGAGAGGATGATAAGTTTAGGTTGTGAGATCATTAAATCAAAGCATATCTTAGTATTTCCGATGTTAGACAGTCTGATTCCTTTAAACTCTGTGAAACTTACTTTGTGTCGACATTATATACTTTTCTTTTTAATGCTATAAGGTATAGAATGCGTCCGTTATGTAACGCATAAATTCATGATTGAGTAGGTATATACAGGTCATTATTGAAAATTTCCAGAATAGCTACATTTTTGAAAGTTGATTTTATTTTGTAAATGATGATTATATATATACAGGAATGTGTACATTGGAATGATCACATCATCACCGATACTTTTTTAATCTGGAGTACCCTAATCTTTCTCCAATTCCTCAATTCTCCAATTTCTCAATCAAAACATACACCACATATTGGTGCAGAAAGGACAATAGCATAAAAGATGTTTTGACAATCTAATTAGAAAGTTGTGCGTTCATGTAATTCTTTCAACATGGTATACGAAAATAATGAAAATTCTTCACTGAAACTGCGAAATTGTTATACAGCTACACTGAATTTTCGCATATGACCGCATATCAATTACTTACTACGGCATGGAATTTATCATATATATAAAAATAGTTGTACACGTTTCAGGAGTTTCATGACATGATGACTTGGAATATTAAACCATTCATCATAATAAGAACGCCATTTTCACTTTATAAATTCACAATTGAGACGAGTTTTGCTACACGGTAGCTTCTTCATCAGTTGGAATGTATACTCGTAACTATTATCTTGGATAGGTTCTGGATAGTCTCAATAATTTTCATCAAGTAACGAGTCGATGTATTCATGATATGATATCATGAGGAAGACTTGTCACTGCTGTTATTGTTTTTAGGAAATGTTAACGCGTTCAATACAATTATTAAGTGTTTTGTTTGTTGGACATAAATATTGTGCGCCTGAACTTGATTCTATTCATCCAATGATAATGGAAAGCTATGAAATGTCAATTCACTAACCTTTGTGTTGTTACCACAATACAATATGCAAAAATACTAACAGCCAATGTTTTGATCATTTTCACCTGAAGTATTGATTGTCATATGATAAATATCGAATCCACGTGCACTAGATATGAATTTCATTCCACCTAAATACTACATGATTTTTCTAAATGCAGTACAATTTTTATGACAGTTACAAAACATCTCGAAATTACACGTGTTGCCTCTTATGAAACACATTAAACTGACTGTGAAATACTCTCAATCATTTTTACGTGAGAATTGTGAATTCGTGTCTGGAGCTGTGTTCACTAATGTTTTTCTCTGTATTGAACAGAATTTTTCATTTTTCCATTTCATTGAGCCTCCATCACGTGAATAATGGGGTGAATAGTCATTCAAGAAACTGAATGTACTAGAAATAACATCTGAATGTGCATCAAACAAAAAACGGAAAACATGAAACAATAACTCACTTAAATTGAAAGGGTTATATTTTCAGCAATGAATAATTTTTGGGAAAGAAAATTTTTGGCTTTCTACTAGTCCATGTTGAAAAATAGAGGGAAATCTTCCAGAGAAAGAAAAAAAACAATCAATTTCAAAAGAAGTAACTCTATATACAGATGTGTAGATTATGTAAAGAAGTAACTTTCACACAAACTGAAAGAAAAATTCCTTCTGAAAAAGCTGCTTTTATATAAATATTGAATTACATGAAAGAAAAATCCTTTCGAAACAATAGTATATTATACAACATGTGAGAAAAACGACAGTTTGCGCAAATCAAGCGAGTGAGAAATATATCATTTTCTCACGCATTGTACACTGTACTTTTTCTTTGGTTGCGTTGTTTTCAAGTATCGAAAATGAAAATACATATATAATAATAATACTTGTATGTCATTAAATCTTTTTTTTTGTATTTCATTTAAAATAGTAATTAACAGTTATATTTGAACAATTTTGTGAAGAAATTCCTGGTAGGTCGTTTTGTTTCAACATATTTTCGGTAATTGGAATATTAGCTGCGGTCGAAGTTGAAGTTGGGAAAA